TGACAAAACAGGCGCCAATTTTTATGTCCTGTAGATGCTAAAGTCCTTTAATTAAAAGCTTGAACTTAACTCCGCTGGTTCCTGGTGTAGTTTCACCTCACTACACATGTCACTGCCATTTAAGGATGTAACAATGGCTCCGATTGGTAAGACAACTAGCGTCATCTTGTGTTATGCAGCTGAATTAATGAATCTTTACCGTCTGTGCAATTTAAGAGTTGTCTTGCAAGCTACGTGTTTTCCAACTTATTTTCCTTAGCGTGATCACATTAGATCTAAGATTTGTGACTTTTCACAGGAAACTGTTATTACACGTGACTTTTTTTTTTTAAATCTAAGATCTCACGAGAGTGTAAAATCTCTCGATTGACATCTTTACAGTTTCGCCTGAGGAATTATACCAGTTGTGGAGCGAACATTGTAACGGAATTGACGTCAAAGAAATGTACAATTACCAAGGTTCAGTGCTGTCATCTACATATTTATTGTAATCACGAAGACAAATTAGCACAGTAAGGAATTAAATATACAGGCACGTGTATATTTAAAAAATATAGTAAGGTTCAGCCAACAATGTTCTGTTTGTATATTGCGTAAACTTCTGTATTGTTGTGTCTAAACTTCGCTAGGTGGGGAAAGTTCAGTATAGTTGGGGTAATGACACGAAAGAAGGCCAGTGCTAATTTTGTACGTTAGAATTCTGTAAACCATTCATTAAAAGAATAAAGATGTCAACCACGTACTTTGGCAGCTAGTGACGGTTCTAAACCTTCAAATTTAGGTGAGGGGGGGGGATGGGACTAAAAGAGGGGCGGTCTGGGTTACTTTACTCAGCGGTGGTATAAGGGACCAGCTCCGCTAAACTGTAATGGAATTTACATTATTTATGTTTCTGGCGTGACCTGGTGGTAAGGGCGCTCGGCTCGCAATGGGGGGTATAATCTCGTCACCTAACATATAGTCTTGAAAAGTTTTAGGACAGTCATTCTTTATGGTAATCTTAATTCGTTAAGAATATGCAGTGGGGTGGGATCCACAGACGAAAAATACACAGAATTATAGTACAATTATACGTCGCACTATTGAATTTTTCTGATCTACATGAGGTTGATGAAATTTCAAGGATAAATATCATAATTTTTTCAGTTCATAAACTAAATACTGATACAGGACTTGGAAATTTAAATCATTAAAACAATTGAGTTAGTTTATAACGAGTACGAGAGTAACAAAAGCTACTACATGTAACCTCGAGCATACGAAAAAAGGTGTGCCACATTACACACTAGCTGAATTCAGAATTGGAGTCACGCTATTTCTGAAAATTGATTACCTATAAAAACTATAATTTTTGGGTGCCCTAAACATCACTAAGTTGAAGGTAGTATATTTTTGGTGAAATCGAGGCAAAACACGCGTTTCTATTCGGGATGCGTTACAAATTATCTAGTTTTAGAAACTAATTAAAAACCGTGTTACGACAGCGGAAGTCACGTGACGCTGGTAACACGTCATGAGTTTCTA